TGTCTCAATAGTAGATGCTGTGAAATTACATATGGAAGAAAAAAACCTCCATTTATTGAAAGCATTTGAAATTATGCCCACCATAGATGGTATTGGGGTTCCAGGATATTTGCATGCTACAGGAGAGCTGGGGAAACAGCAACATGGGACACTCTAAACTTTTAGTGACATAAATCTGGCCTTTGGCAAACATCAGCACACTTTACAGATACTGAGGCCTCAATGAATCTCTCCCTACTCTCTCCTGTAGTTTCCTGGTGCACTGGATTTCTCACCAACAGGACAACATTACCTATAACTTCAGAAGTTTAAAAGACATTTCTATGTAGGAGCAAGAGTTATTCATCCATTGGCTGTGGGCATTATTAAGAAATCATGAGACTAAGTAGCCTTAAATCTGGACTAGTGTAATGTTTTCCCTTAATGGCAAGCAAGTGGTATTCTGTACAGGTAAAATGGGCTTCTTAATACCAAAGACACTCAAGAAAAACTTGCAGCAGCTGCTAACAGGAGTGAGTCCTTAGGCTTTGTCCTCCCCCCTCTGTTACACGGCATAACATTTAGAGTCAGCTGAAAGCCATTATGACAGAAAACAGGTGAAGAATAATTTGCTAGGCACTGTTAAGTGGCTCAACTCTATCACAAGCATATGGAAAAACAAATAAGGAATATTGCATAAAATAATAGACTTTTGATTTAAGGCAGTCACGGAAGGAACTGTGGGACGGAACATGTTTGTGCTTTAAAAGAAGCCTGATTCATACACGTGGCTTAAAGGCAGCCTGAGTTTTAAATAGAAAATAAAATTGGTTTTCTTATTATCCTGAGAGATGTTCAAGACTTGGTGGGCAGATAAATCATAAAAATGTAACTGAAAGTGTAAGGGAACTGTAGTCACGGAATAAAGCTTGCGGGATTTGGCCTGTTTCTATCAATGAAATCATTTTCCTGAAAAATAAATGAATAATGCTATTTGGATTTCATTCACAAATACCACAAGTTGAAGGGTTCCTTTGAAAGCGGTTCCTGTTGTATTCTTAACATCCTGAGTAACTTGACTTTCAGATTCCTTGAACTGATTGTGAGCTTATTTGGAAGGGAAGCAGCAATCACAGAAGGATTAATATTAATTATTCTCCAGGGACAAGAATGACAAAGCCGGAAAACAAGGCTTCCTCAGAACTTGCACCAGCCACTGATAGAGATGGCATTTGCCAGCTCTGCAGCGGTTAGTGAGGCTACAGGAACATAGGCTGTCCCCTCCTGAGCCCTGCAGCCCAAGCCTCTCCCTATCCACCTCCACATCCGAAATCCCCAGTTACCAGAAATTGTTCTGCTTCTCCAGTTTGCCTCTCCTGCCTGGCTGAAATCATGCTGGTCCCTCAGGAGCTGTGAATGGCAAGGTACCTGTTAGCAAGCAGCTTTGTTCCTGTGTCTGACCAGCACCTACCGTTTGATAGATCCACTGGGGAGGTCTCCCTCTGATCTGTGTGCTGCTTCTGAGGGTCTAGGGAGCCAGCCAGGAGTGCTCCAAAAGCAGCTCTTTTCCTCCAGTAATCCCTGCCACTCCATAGGGCAGCAGGGAGAAAAAGAGAAACAAGTAAGAGTCCTGCTATAGGGTCTCTGAGGAAGAATAGGAGATAACTGACAGCAGACAGAGCAGTGAGAGCTGTTGTGCTGGCAGTGATGTAGGATTGCACAAGGAGCTCCATTAATAAGAAATAAAGGGAATGGGACAGCAGTAATTGTGTGGAAGCAGGTGGGTTGAAAACAGGCATTAGGAGCAATCTAAAACAGCTTGTTTCCATGCATTTGGAAGAGTGAGCTTCGGGAAATGTCAGACACATGTTGCAAATGGGAAAGGCAGAGTGGATGCACCTGGCAAAACCCCTCTGTGGTATCCAAGAGTATCTTTATGGTGGCCTCAGTAAAGTGACTTTGGCATAAGAATATTTTATCATTTCTACAGATATGTGCTCCACATAGAAGTTTAAATAAAACTCTTCTGCTATTTCAAGATCTTAGAGGGCAAACGTTCAGGAAGGCTATGGCCACGTGGATGCGATAAACATTGGTAGTCATATGATGGATCCTTTAGTATTAAGATAATTTTTCAGTAAGTCTGGAAAATCTACCCACTTTCTAATCCAGCATTGTTTCTTCCCATAGCAGTAATATTTTCCTGTGAATCTTTTCCTCTGGCTTTGAGACTCCCTATCTCAAGTGAGTCTGTAATCTACCAAGACCTAAAAAATTCTTCATTTATCCTGGTTTAGTTAAAAACTTATCACAGGCTTCATGTGGCTATAAAGAGAAATTATACTTTCTTTTTTTTTAATAAAAAAGGTGGATATGTGCATGCAAGACTACATGTTGTTATTCCAGAATTACCCTTGTCCTTGTTCGGGTATCCTGCTGTTACACACCACACTGTAATCAAGAATAAAGTGGTTTTATGCTCCAGTCTATGCTACTGTAGGGACAAATGTAAAACGCGTTTCTTTGCCATTGACTGGCAATGTGGCACACTGCAAGAGCTTCAAAACAGGTTGCTGTTCCCAGACCTCTGCACAGGGGGGCAGAACTGGATCTTCTATGACAACAGGAATTCAATTTACAGCAAGCAAAGCCCCTGCTCTAAGCCGCACTCATCTAATATTTCTCGTTGTAGTTCAGCTATCTGATTGCTGTCTGCATATCACCAGTCTCTTAAGCAGAGATGATATCACAGGCAAGGGTGTCTGGAATAATTTGACTATCTGGGAGCCACATACTAACAGCAAAATGCTGAGGATCTGGCCCTGCGCATCCCAAACACTCAGTAAATCTCAGCTCTGCCTCACTGCAATAGCTCTGACACAGACAGCCCCCAGAAACGATGTCTCCAAGTAATTTTCTTTTAAAACATCATTTTATTTTTCTCTGCATCGAGAAAGAACGTAGTAACAAACCGATTATCTTGAATGAAGCCTCAGAGAGAAACTGCATTAACTGAAAGGTCTAGACTGGCCTGAGGTATATTTTGGCCAGCAACAAGTAGAACAATACATTAAAACAGAAGCACTGATATAAAATAGAGCAGAACAAAATAACTACATGCAATGTGTTAATCAGATTGTGGGGTAATTTAATGGCATTTCCTAAATTCAAAAACATCAGATAATGACATAAAGTGCCGAGGTACTGCTTAAAGAATGGTACCATAAAATACCTCGGCAGGCAGACAATGTTTCCTGCCTTGCATTTCCTGGAGGGAGAGTTAGATTAGTAATGGTGAGAGGATTTTGTGTTGTTGTGGCAGGATTTTATTGAGCAGCAACAAAAAAATTATTTCCAAAGAGGTGGCCATAAAAGAGGACTGCCTTCCTCCCTGGGGCAGGGAGCTGGGGATGCGGCTGGGGTCCTGCTCTGCCTTCGGTTACTCCTGGGTAGTATACTGCATAACTCTGCATCTGGGTGGAGGCTTTGTTCCCATACATTTCTACTGACAGTTTCCCTTCAATTGCCTGGTGGACTTTCCCATTTAGTGGACATGGGAATGGACCCCTGGAAGATGCCCTCTGAGGACCACTGGGATCTTAAGTGTGATCAGGAGATCTGCCTGTCTTCATCATGGCTCCTGGGGCCATCCTCATCCTTTCTGCTGCTCTCCCGGAAAGAAAATAGGTGCTGGAGCTGGTGTTCTCACCACACACCTGACTCCTTCACTCAGATGAGTGGGGCAAGAAGGTGCATGAAGCCTCCGAGGCACACACCCCTGGCTCTACCTCCCAGAGCCTCGATTTGTCTTGGTCCTAAGAAATGGCATCCAACAATGAAATGCCTTCCCATACACAGACCTTCCTCTCACAGGAGGGACTTTCCAGCCCTGGGAAGGGACTTGGCACTAAATGGTTTTAGAGAGTCATGTCTTTTGGAAATAAATTGCCTCCCTTCAGACAGCTGCTCTCTGGGAAGTGACACATTGTCACTTAAGATCATTAACTATTTGACTGGGAGACTGCTGCTGTACAGCATCCCTCACTGGCAGCGCTTTGCTGTTAATTAATAATAAATTAACGCTATGACTCTGAGCCTTTCCTTTCATCAGCCAAGGTTTCTGGAGGCCGAAGAATCTCAACGGATCCTCTACAAACAAGGACAGTCGACGTAATTACCTACAAGCAGCAGCTAAGTGGTGGGTGAGGTGCAAAAATGGGCTGCAATAGCAATTGCTAGCAGTCCTCTGAACATCAGGTCTGTTAGGACTGACTGCCCACTAGTTTTCTGCAATCCCCCACAGTGATGAACACTGCAAACACGAACGTGGGCAGCCAGGTATCTGCCTGCCCAGAGAAAACATCTTGTCCCATTGCTTTGGGAAGCTGTGCGGATTGCAAAAGAGCTTCTCTCACCTAAAGGTGTTTTTCCAATCCTGCTTGCAAGAGGAACAGATGCAGCTGGGAAACTGCACTTCTCCACATTAGAAATTAGGGGTAACACCTGAAACTGAAACAGGGTTGAGCAGCTCCTGGTGACAGCAAGGTCTTCTGTGCTTGCATGGCTTTTGCAAAGCAGCCACAAAACACCTCCAGCTGCAACAATCTTGGGACTGCCTCTAACTACATGTATGTTCAGGCTTGCTTAGGGTCTCTTCATGCTCCCCAAGTCTGCCACACAGTAATGCAGGGGAGAGGCAGCAGGTATTTGACAGCAGCAGTTAGGGAAGCAGCCAGTTCTCCTAACCCAGAGAGTGTCTCTCCGAGATGCCCTTAGTGGAAGAAATCATTTGGACTATTGCACCAGGATGCATCTCCAGCCCTGGTTTTCTTTTGGAAAGCTGGATGACGGCAGATGCCCTCAAGATCTACCCACTGCCTTTGTGGTTTTGGCTATTTCTTTATAGAAACCTCTTCCCTGTAATTTGCCTGTTAATATCCGCACCCCGGGATTGTTGCAGTGATGTAATCATGCAACATCTTAGGTAAAAACAGAATGAGACATATTATTAAAGCAAAACATAAATGCTGATGGCTTTTTTATTAAGCAGAGGTTTTCAGGATTCAACAGGAGCTTTCAAGGTTCAGGACAAGGCTTTAGGGGAGCATCTGCCATGGGGAATGGCGCCAGGGAGGATTCCTCTTTATGAGCTGAAGCCTGTCGAGAAATTAACACTTTCGAAGAGATCTCAAGCGAAGAGTCCGACGGCTTCTCCTGCGGAGAAAGAAATCAGTACCTCAGAGACAGAACATCTGGGCTTTACTGTTTGCCTCTCCCTCTGGTGAAAGATATATCATACAGAGGCTTAAACAAAACAGAAAACTTCTGAATGCTATTCCAGCTATTTCCTTTTATTACTAACATTCAAAGACAAGTTGAAGACTTAACTTAAAGGAAGAACAAATAGTCTGCATGAAATAGACTTTGCTGAAAGAAAGTTCTTCAGCAAATTACCTAAGAGGGAAATGCAGAACTATACTAAATGGTACCTCTTCATACATGAAAGAGGAATTCTGGCAAATTCTCCCAACAAAAACTGACCCTTGCTTTTAAGAGAACAGATAAACCCAAAGTAAGAAAACTTCAGCTCTCCAAGCAGTCTCCAAGACTGATTAGTTAGTTTAAGCTAATTTGTTGTTTAGTTAGTGAAGAGACTTATATTCATACTTACAGGAATGCATTGCAGAATAAGCATTTATTGCCATATGTTACACCATCAGACCCACAGTGGGGGACGTATTCCATAGTGCAGACATTGCTGGGTACCACGTAGTTCCTGCAGTAGCCCTGTAGATAGGTACAATCTATGTTCACGAAAAAAGTTCTCAACAACAGACATGAAAGAAAGGTGACATTAAGAGACCACACACACACCCTGAGCTCCCCCCAGTACTGGCCAGAAGTAGATGCTGAGAAAAAGCCCAGAAACAGGGCTGGAGTACAGTGGTGCATTGCCTCCAGCAATGTGGAGCCTGTGTAACCATTGTAAATGCTGCTGCAGTAACTTAGACAATAACTCGGACATGAACTCAATACTGCACTACTTGTTCAAACTGCCATCAGGTGAAAATAGCAATTTCACCCCATAATATCTGTGGCAAATATTGCTCAGACAGCTGAATGGCTCAGGATTTTCAAATGCTTATCACATGTGATTAGTAAGGATTTAAACAGAAACTGCTTTAAGTAAAGAAATGATGGAAAATAGAAAGATCCATCCCTTACCTGCAGTGCACCAACATCTGTAAAAAAAAAAAAAAAAGAAAAAAAGAAGGAAATATGATACAAACGCAATTCATGGGTTCTGTTAGAATTAAAATCTGTGAATGCGTGCCCTGAATATGCTACTTTCAACTCACTGTTAGCAAATTACTTCTTAGACAAAAAGAATGTCGGGCAAAATGCAGTGGTTTATTATACGTTTGCAACATTGATTCTGTAGAATAATGTTTTTTAATGAGAGTTACAGCCAAAATGGAAAAAGGTGTACAAGATGAAAGAAGAGAAAAGCATTTTTCATGGCTCAAAGGATGGAGCAGGACATGCACTCAAAGCTCAGGAAGTTATTGAGGCTAACAGGGTCATAAAGATGGCAAGTACTTGGGGGTAGCATCTTATATGCATTGCCACAGTAGTTCTTAAATACAAGGAGTATTTAGTGAGATGTAACTTTTATGAAGCTTCTACAACTGTTCAGGCTCTCGGATTGCATCTCAGCTCAGGATGACTAGAAGAAACCTTCTCTCTCAGTCAGCAAAATAATTTGTGTTTCTGCAACATTTCAGAGGTTAAATACTGGATGTCTGAGTCTCTGGGTTACACCACGTACATGTCACTTCTTTCATTATGCATAAACTAGCGCTGAGAGTAGAGCTGTTCCCACAGTTGTTCTTACCCACTCAGTTCTGTTGCTAAAATATTACCCCATAAGTGATAGTCTTTGATGTCAAGTCTTTTCAACACTATCTTTCTAGGAGTAAATAAGTCCTTGTAGAATGAAGCTCTTTCCAGTCTGAGGATGTTTTTGTGGTTTTAAAGACAGCCAGCACTTACTCAAAAGCAGAGCAGGAGGCAGTAAAGCTACTCACCTGGGATGCAGCAAAGGGCTAGAGCAAACAGCAGCAACACGCCTGCTGTCTTCATGGTGGCTGAAGCGTCTGCGTGCAGCAGAGCCTGTGTTTTGCTCAGTAAACATCACCTTAATTCTGCCCTCAGGTGGTAACCACGCTATATGTACTCATGTATGCACATGAGTCTCTGCGCACTCGGATTTGGCTCATCCACCCTTATTCTGAAGTAACATTCCTGGTCGTTTGTCAGGGTGGCAGTCTCGACAGAGGTTAAGCTGTGCTGTAAGCCAGGAAGAATGCTCCTTCATCAACAGGAGTCACAGGAAGTTTAGATGTGTTTGATACACCCTCTGTGTTGTTATTTTAACTGAAATACATGACAAGTTCCTTCTGAAGGACCATAGAAAACTCCTGCAGGCAAAAAAGCAACTATACAAACCTCAGCAGCAGCTGCTGTCAGATTTCCTCTGTGTGCACCTATCAGCGCCTATTCATGTGTGGTGCTTTTTCAGGAGCAAAACATTGAATGAACATCTTCCAGAGTGGAAAGTCTCTACTTGTATTTTCATGCTTCATCCCAGTAAAGCATCATGAAGCTCTAGTGAAACCGGGAAAGCAATGAACTTGGAAGGCAAGCAAGAGGGTGTCCCAGACAATGAAGGGAGTCCTTGAACTGAACAAGAGATGAAGCAACTTTTATAGGCATATGCAAAGAATTTACAATTGTTATTTCCCCTAAAAACCATTATAATTGTGGGTTAGAGTTACCCTAATGTACTGATAGACCAGTGATGACAGAATGGTGTGAGACCCTAGCCTGGATTCTGGAAAACCTGAACCCAGTCTGGAAGTGGCTGCTTCATCCATCTGCCCATCTCAATAGAAATCCTTTGTTTTACCACCAAAGCATCGCTTTTTTGGATGACCTCATTCCATCAAGGAAAACAAGCGTCCTCCTCCCTTCGGCTCCCAGAAGAAATGCATGTGGGAGACACTACTTTTTAGAAGGAATATGCCCAATTTATTTATGTTTCTCTTGTGTGGATCGAACCCCCACCAATTCAATACCCGAACAGAGGACAAAAGCAAAATAAATTTCACGAACAATACGCCAATGACAGGTCACACTCTCACAAAACAGAAGGGTATTTTGTCCTTGGATTGTGAAACACTGCTGAGATACTCCTTGGGCTGGCAAAGAGTATGATGTTATTAAAGACTAGGAGAGGAGACAAGTAGGCAGGAGTAGGAACCGTCCTTAAAACACTTGAAGGTTGTTAAAGGAAATAAGTCTCTTGTAGGACCCAGAGACATAGGCAGTGTCTGAAAAAGACAGGCTTTGCTAACAGACTGCCCTTGCAGGGTGCTACACTTCAGGTGAGGGCTGTGTTCAGGAGGCCAGGGATCAGCTCTTGGTGCAGACACCACCACAGCCGGAGTGGGTTTTGCACAGGGATAGTGCACCAGCAATGCCTTAGGGGAGATCAGCTGGTGTCATCCCTTGAAAGCAGCATTTCAGCTCTTTACAACGTCGAACGTCTGAAAGGGCCTGAACACTAATGTAGGCTGACTATCGTTGATGTGAAAAGTCACACAGCTCCGAGGTTTGTGCATCTGTATTTAATTTTGTGCTTTTTATGAGAGGGAAGGGAGCAAAATGCAGTTTTTGTTATATCCCAGAGCTATCAGCACATAACCTATTCAGCCTGGCATCATCATTCAACAAGCCAGAAGAAAATGTTTCATGAAACACATGAAACAAGACAAAGAAATGTTGCTGATTTAGTTTATTGAGAAAGAAAATCAGGAGTGAGCTGAGGTCCCCAGGGGGCAAGATGAACTGAGGTGAGATTTTTAGTTGGGATTTGCCAGCGGGGATCCTGTGGTGAATTCTCTCAGCACTGATACTCAGCATTTTCCAAAATGGCTTAAAGTGAGAGTCCCATTGCTGTCCCTGGAAGCAAGGAGAGGAAAAAATGGATTAGACAGAGTCCTGTCTGCTATAATCTCTCCGTTTCCTTGGCTCCTAGAGAAGGCAGATAGGATCCTGCCCCAAAGACAAAGAACTTGCAGACTCAAGTCCCATTAACTAAGAGATGAGTGAGATGATTTAACCCGTTCTTAAGACTGAAAATATTTTTTGGGAAACTATGATGAAACTCCAAATTTCATTTCTTTGCAACATGCAAGAAAAATCCCATGAAGATTAATGGTGTTCAAACAATCCACACTAACAAATCAGACACAGCTCTTTGTATGCTCCAGTAGAAACAAAAATGAATGGTTGGCATGATGGATGGTGTTCTCTCCTGCCCCGTGTTCCTACTCAACACTGGTCAGCAAACAAGAAAGTGGCAACAGTGCAAACTTGCACTTATAGAAGGCAACTGGTAACAGGAATGTGGTCCGTGTTTGTACATACATGACTGCATTGCAGAAGCTACACGTGTTGCTGTATGTTTTGCTGTCGGATCCACAGACAGGCGAGTAGACAAGTGCGCAGGCAGGTTTAGGGTAGTCACTGCAGTCAACCTGGAAAAGAAAAAGTCTGATATGAAGGATTATGATGGAGCCACCAGCAGAAGGGCTTGAACCCCTCAGTACAGCTGCAGTGCTAATGATAAGAATCTAACTGAAAGTAATTAACTTCCTTGCACAGTCTCATATAAACAGAGGTGTCAGTTCCTCCTATGCCAGAGAATTTTATAATATAAAAATAGATCATAATTTCCTGTTTGAAGAGATGTGTACGATACCCTGGCCATAGCATTTCCAAGCAGCAGCAATTCACTCTGCGAATGTGCCATGCTCATAATCACATTGTACTGTGTTCCCAACCAGGCCAGGAAATTAAATGGAAAAACCCTGCTGTCTGGAGAACTGTAAGTGCTGATGTGCTGATTCCTGTGTAAGGGCCCAGTATCACTCCTGTATTCTTAAAACTGGAAGATCAACATTTAGCTAGGTACGGTGAGAGAGGGATTTTGTTTCCTATGCAATGAGTGCTACAGTTGCTGAGTATTGTAATGCAAAAATGCATATGGGTCCTGGAAGAGGCTGAGGACATTAATGGAGAAGAAATCTATCAGTGCTTATTGACTACATGGAAACTGAAGCTAGCTGAGGTCCATCACCCAAAAAATAGCTGGAGGTTGGAAGAGGAGAAGTCCTATACATCATACATACTCACTCTACCCTTACTCTCTCCTACACAGTCCTAACAACCCCTGCTAAGAGTGGGTTCTGCATCAAGCCATCATGGGCATGCTGTACCATTGTTCTGACCCCAAAAGGCATTATCTGTTCTTCTCAGTTCTGCCCTGATGAATTATTTCTGCTACTACTCTTTTACTCATCCTTTTCTGTGCAGTTACCCTCTTCCTTTCCTGTCATTAGTGTGGATAATTTGTATTATGTGTGGAAAAAGCAAAATCTTCCCTGTGCTAAAGCACAGTAGCAGCTACACTTCTGTGGGATGCTACTGGTCTCGGGGCTGCTGCAGACATTGACAGTGCTTAACCTGACATCAGCAGGACTGAAACATGGTCCCTCATCACAGAGTTCACTTACTGTAGTGTCTTCCTTCTTACATTCACCGTCATTCTTCTTGTCAACAGTGGTTCCAGCCTCTCTGGGAAAGGAAGAGACCCACATTAGGGAGCTCTGTGAGAAACCTGCTCTTCTGAAAAGCATGTCTCAGGATTGCTAATCAGCCTCAGGTATAACAGACAGAATACAAGAGACATTTGAATTAGGTTGTGTCCACATGACTCTAGATTCCAGTGCAGGTGGTGTCACAGCCTGCCAGAGTGCTGGTTTATAGCATGATGTGAAGGGATAGGGAGCATCCAGGGTATTAGGGTGAATGACAAGGTAGGCTGTGTGACAATGTACATGCACCTTAGGCCAGTTGCAAGGCAGTATCTGCCACATAGACCCTTTTAACTTCGTAAAGAGAAGCATTCTGTCCTGCGTTAGATCTCCACCCAGCCCTGTACTCTCTCTAGATCAAAGGCAGTTTTCTTTCTATTCACAAAGGAAAACAAGGTCTGGTTACCAGGGAAAAAGGAGGGTCAAAGTCCAAGCACCTTAGAATAAAGACCTTGGTGGAAGTCCTGATATTCAGAAAAGCAGTTGCCAGGAGCGCTAAGCGCTTGCTGTCCCTCATAGGATAGCTCTGCATATGCAGTACTCACAGATTATGGGCACACAGCAGGCACTCGTTGTCATAGGTGACCCCATCAGTACCACAGATGGGGCTGACATCTTTGTTGCAGAGCAACACCACTTTACCTTCTTCATCTGTTGTGTTGGGATACCGACTGCAGTCCACCTGCTGAAGGAACACACAACAAAGCACTGGTGAAGGCTTACTTATAAGAAGCAAGTAGATCTGGTGAGTGTGTCTGGCCACCTAGGATACAACCACAGCAGGAAAAATTGTTTTCTCTGTGTCACTATGATGGCAATTCACTTGAAGATGACCAATGCAAGATTTTGATATCTCATATGTCCTCTTATTTAGTGTTTGAATTCTTTCTTGGGGGAGTCAAGCAGCTCTGGCCACTGAGAAGCAACATGCCTCTTAGTTTCCCCTTGGTTTCACTTACAGGGACAGGTTCCTTGCATTTTCCATCATGATCTTTGCCAACATTGGTTCCATTTTCTCTGGAAAGGGAAAAACAAATATTAGGAAGTTCAAAAAGGAGCCTTGCTATGTCCTAGGTTCTGGAAATACGTAGCCAATACAAGGGAAAGCTGACTCTTTGTCAGTCAGGCTCATATATAGCTATTTTTTGAAGAAGTAGTGCCATCCTCCCTAACCAGCTAGCACTGAGTGGCTGTCAGGGACATAAAGATGCCAAGAGCTCTGGGACCATTTGGAGCAGATCAGAGCAGGGCATCTCTCCATCCTTTTGCTCTGCTTTGCTGCGATGAGATATGCCCTAGGGGCTATCATCTGGCTGATCCTTGAGCTGGAGAAGAAAAATAAGAATGAATTACACCAGCAAGAGAGAGACACAGTGACTAAGGCAATGTCTAGGAGATGGAGTGCCATGCAGTGATATCCAAGCTCATTTTGAAGGAATTGGCATTAGTGACATATGTCAGATCACTGTTTGTCAAAAAGTGGTGCATTCAGAAGTCCTAAGAATTGCTGCCTATGCAGTACATACATGTTGTAGGCACAGAGCAGGCACTCGTTACTGTAGGTGACTCCATCGGTACCGCAGATGGGGCTGAGGATCTTGGCACAGACCAACACCTCTTTGCCTTCCTCATTTGTAGTGTTGGGGTATGTACTGCAGTCCACCTGCCAAAGGAATGTACAGCAACAGGGTGGAGAAGACATTTTACATTCACCACTCTCATTTGGCACAAGACAGTGACCAGGTACAACCTGCAGTGGGTTTTTCACTGCCACTGCACATACTTGTGCTGGTGGGTCAATATGGTCACAGGCAAATCCTTCCTGCAGAGACCTCCCCACACAGCAGGAAAGGAGGAGGAGGAGAGGGCTACGACCATATAGCTCCTCAGATAGGGTAAATCAGTGGTGGTCTCTCATGCTTACCTGGCATTCTTTTATAAAGGCTATCTGTTGCTCTCTCATTTTTATATTCTTGTGGCACCCCCAGTGCACCTCTGTTATTACTCTTTCATTATCAAAACACTGATTATGTTTTTTATTCAGAGAAGTAAAGCTAATGACATGGTGCATGGAATCTGAAGTACCTTGGTAGTATTTTATTCTTCCAGCAGGCTGCTTTCAGGTAGTTTCTCATACCACAGCTTATTCCTGTCCTTTTAAAGCCAGTCATATATGACCCAACTTACAGCTTAAACAAGTTTAAAGTTGGTGAAAAATGAATTAATAAAAATTTTATGTTACTACTGCTACTACACTATTAACATACAGCACAGATGTAGAGCCAAGGACAGTATAATTTAATGTTTTATACTTTGGAATCTGATTACAATGACACTGATTTCACGCTAACTGAAAAAGCGTAACTGAAATAAGCATCTGCAGTCCTGAGGATTTTCCTATTCCTTCAGTTAAGTCTTTACCAAGCCACATACCTGAGAAAAGTGACAGAAAGAAATCTTCCACTCACCTCAACCCCAAAGGCAGCGTCTGGAAAAGAAGAGACAGGCAGAAAGTGTGAAACAAAGCCAGTATGATAAGACCTCAGTTAAAGCTGGAATTCTAGATGTAAAATTCCTGTATGCAAGACCAAACTGATTTCCACTGATTGGTTTCCTGAACTAAATAAACTATATATGATTTTTTTCTTCTCTGTGTTGATAAGTATAATAACATTGCTTATTGCTGGCTGTGGTGAAACACGTTTTAGAACAGCTTTGTTCTTTTGTACTTTAAGATAAGTAGACGTATTAATTGAAAGTAGAATAACTTTTCCTTCCTTATCTTTCTACACACCCATTTTGACCCTAAAGAGCTACTGTTAGATATCTGAAAAGAAACTTGAATCAATACAGATAAACGTAAATGCAAATAGTCACCTACAGGATAAGCAAATACATACAGCATCTGTTGTCAAGCTTATGCATTTTAAAGAAGCTGAGTGTGAAAAAAAAATTGTCTTTGACTTTATAATTTCATCAGATGGAAATATGCAATGATAACATCAGACCCTGGCTTGTTTTCATCCCTTGTTTCTCCATTAACAGAAAAAGTATTGCACAAAAGTTGCCAGACTCCTGTAAAGAACTTGCTTGTGCCACGGCAATATTTTTGTGATCGGTTACTGAAGGTCTGACTACCTTGTTACAGCCCTGTTTCAAGCATTTATCCACTTTCTGTAATTGTAGAACAAGTGTAAGCAGTGTAGCAGTGTTCAAACAACAGTGTAAAAAGCATAAAAGCACTAGTTACCAGCACAGAACTCCATTTGCAGTTATTTATATTTATGACAGACAAGCAGCTACAACAGTGATCCATTTAAGCCTGTCCTGAAATCTGCTCCTGCATCTTATGCGATGCCAAAGCACCAGGGCATCCTAGCTCTTTGTAGGAGAAGATTTTCTCTTCTTGAAGCCACTCTCTTATCTTTTTCGAGACAGCCAGAACTCAGATGTGAAGTCTCTGTGGTGCCAAGAGTTACTCACCTGGGAAACAGCAAAGCACAAAGGAGAGGAGCACAAAAACACCTGCTGTGGTCATGTTGGAAGTATGTCTTGAGTCTGCAGGCTGCCTACTCCTGCTCTGATCATGAGATGGCCTCTCAAAGGCTGACTGCAAATATATACAAATGTGGTGTCTAAACTGTTCAACTGTAACATAAAACAACCTGCAGGATCTGTCACCAGCACAATGAGGCTGGTAATATTTATTGAGGTCTTGACTTTCAGGTAATGGTCAGTATCTGCTACACAATTGATTTTGGCTGGACATCTGGTTAATAGCTTGAGACAATTATCACACGTCCTCAGTGATCAAAACCAAACAAACAGCCTTTTAGACAAAAGAAACCTCTTTAGGATTCAAGTAGAAATGTAAGAAGCACAAAATACTGTGGGGAGTAAACAGCAGGTCCTTCATGTGTCTCTGCAGAACGTCTCCCATCAGAGAGCAGCTCATGCAGAGCACGCAGTACTATCCTGATGCAGATCAGGCTAAGACTCTCTGCTTGCTTTCTTTTGCTTTGGGTGGGGTTCTTTTTTTTTTTGCATTCCCAGATATTCTCCTCTAGGTATGAACATGCATCAGGTGTGGCTTTGCCATCAGCAGAACTGGTTAAGCTTTGCCAGGTGAGTCCAGCAGGACTGTGTCTAACCTGTGCAGCTAACGGTATGTAGCACTAGTTTGATAAGTAAAAGGGTTTCTTGACAGTTTCACTTCAGTAGACTTGAAAGCAGATTATATTCTGTCAAATGACACCAAAAATGTCACTTGGACCTTAGCATGAGGGAGCACTTATTTACAGACCTAGCCACAGTTAAACACACCGACCCATTCAAAGTGTTCCGCCAAGTCATCTTGAGAACAAAACACACTGAAGGTTTGGGAGCCTATTTACATAGCACCAGCTATGTTTGCAAGTACAGTAGGTCCTTTCCCCTACAGATATTTTAGAAAACTGTACTTAAAACATAGATCCTGTCCCAATTTTCCTGTCCGTCTCACACCTCCAGCCTTGATGCGATCTCCAAGTGTCCCCTTTCGAAGAGGAGGTCTGGGCCTCTGCAGCTTTAGTAGGAGTAATTTTGCAGAAGTGGGTTCTGCCTTTAACCTAAGTTTCTCACCATGATCCCTTTCACAGGTCTGAAATGGCAAGAAAACCCAGGGTTTTCTGCCATGGGAGCTGAGCACTGTGCTTAGGATAGACTTCAGCATTATTGGAGATGCAGAGCAAAAGATCTTTTACAGATGCTCCCTTGAACCAACAAGGCACCACCCATTAATCGAATGAAATTCAGTTGAAACCATTGAAAATTAGCCCAAGAAATCTTGTTGGTGTCTGATATATCACTGTGGTCTACAGGATATGCTTTGATCCTTTAAAGTATATATTGTATGTATTGTATTCATGCATTGTATGCATGGAATCATCTATCCTGGGCAATGGTGAACTATGAAAGCAGCAGCATGGCTGTATGGATAGATAGGTTACATTTTTACCTGGAAGAGATGGGTTTCTTCACAGGGAGAAGCATTAAAATAATTATGCTGCTGGATTTATTTCTATAAATTACAGAGAGCATGCATGAGTATTTTTAGACGGATTGAGCACATCTTCAAGATATATTGCCCTAATGTGCCTTGTGGATGGCGTCTCTGGAAGCCAAGTACTTTCTCTGAGCGTGCACAGAATCACGCTGAGGCTGCTGTCAGACGCCATGCCTGTTGCCTTATCAGTTCTCTGATGAAGAGACATACAGTCTCTGCACAGTTGGAGGAAGGTACATCATTCTGGGTCAAACATGAACTTTGGTACTACCTTCTCCAATCATCCTCACCAGCCCTGACCTGACAGCTTTGGGCAGGTTGTCTCCTGCCCGGTGCCCACAGTGCTGCTGCTCCCTGCCCCAGATGGTGCGGTCCTCTAGGCAAGGTGGAGCTCTCCTCTGGTGGGTGGAGAGCACCTTCCTGACAAAGGCTGGTGTGTGTGGCCTGTATACCCCAGAATACAATTTTCCACTGCAAATGCCAGGTTCAGCACTGGGTCTGGCACTTGCTCCAAGCAACCCAGATTCATTTCAATCACCACAGCACTCATCTGATGTTCAGCAGACCCATTCCTTCACTATCTCACCTATAGATGTTCTAGGGAGACTCAGGTCTGTGACAGTTAAGTCACCAGTCTCCTCTGAGCCGCTCAGGTGCCCCTTCAGGCAAGCCACAAAAACAACAGGCAGAAGTCACCGGGTTACAGTCCCAGCCAGCCAACATCCACAGCTCTAGTTTATCCTGCCTCTGACAAGGGCATGGAAAAATCCCACAGCTGGCTCAGCTCATGCTGTGGGACAGGTTGCTCAGCTCCTAGCTACTCTTGGAAGAACAGTTAAAAAGAGGATTTGGTCTGCAATCCTGCCACTGATCTTGTGCTGTAATCCACTTCATTACAGTCTTCTAATCCTCAAATTCAGATGTAGCATATGGCTGATGGCCACTTTGCTAATGGAAAATCCTCATCTATGCAGAAGCCAGCACAAGGGCAGAGGTCTGCTAGCAAGCAAAGGCAGTACCACATCTTTGAGTACAATATGTTAGTGCCTCAGGGCACCAGGGGGTCTGCTGGCAGACACCAGGGCAGGATTTTGCCATTATACAAGATCCTTTCTCACACAAAGACTTCCTTGGTTTATATTTTCCATTGAAGTTTTTGCCAGTTATCGATTTCATATTCTCTGGAAGAATCAAAACCAATGTGGGAAATTTTCTTAGGCGATATGTCACTTCTCAGTGTTAGTAATACCCTGATAAATGAATGACAAATTACTCAATACATTTTTCCAAACATTCCTGGGTTTTGTCATGTTATTTAATTAACAAATAGCTGTTGTAAAATTGGGAAATAATAATAATTAGTAGTAGCCGTTTCACGAAATTGCCTCTAATCACTCCAAAATGCCTGCTAAATACAACACAGATTGCAGTTTCCATCTTTGTCTTTCTCTTGGCCACAGTATGGTCAATAACTGCTTGCACTGAACCATGTGCCCAGAGAAACCGATACAGAACAAATGGAAGATCTGCCTCTCATCTAGTGCCCAAAGGTATTGTTTGAACTAAGCAATAAAGCAAAGTCACTGATATGATTAAAACATATCAACATGGAAATGTATCCAGGTGTTTATGAGCTTATTAAATAGAGCTTGATTCAGGTAATGCTGGTGAATATTTTTCTGAACTAATAAGGCCATGTGCGGAACTTTGTACCTTGTAGGTGAAGGCTAACATAGTGTCACATTACTTATGCAATGAATTAAATGTACTTGGCCCCACTGCAAGGACAGATGTTGACACGTAGGAACGAGTCCAGCTGGGGCCACCAGGCTGGTCAGGGACTTTAGCACAGGGCATTTGGGTAAGCTGAAGGAGCTGGAGAAGAGATGGCTGTGGGGGATCACTGCTATCTGAGGCTCCCTGATGGGGTTCTAGAGAAGACAGAGCCAATCTATTCAGAGCTGCACAGCAAAAGGATTACGTTCAGACAAATATGAGGAGTTATTCTTTGCCATGAGGTTGATCAAGTGGTGGCACAGGACTCAGAGGAGGCCATGCATGTTCTTCCTAGGTGATGCTAAAAACCCAGCTAAATAAGGAAAGTCTTGAGGACCCTGGGGTGACTTGGACTTTGGCCTTGTTTTAGACCTCTAGAGAGCTCTTCCAACTTAAGTTATTTTATGTATATGGTACTTATATAATACTCTCTTTTATGGATAGATTATATTAATGATCATAATATTTCTCCATGATCCAGGAGAGCAGCTCCAAAGTTTTCCTACCACTTAAAGGGTCACAGATAAGAGCTCCCAGACACTTTCACAGGATGACCAGTAACATGTACAACAAAAAGAGTAGATTGTAATTATCATTAAAACACCAAACACACTATTCAAATATGAGAATGTTATTAGCTTTCTATGGTTTCAAGTCTCTCCATTTCTGCAACAGCCCAGGCCCCCTGCCATCACAAAGCTTCCTCAGAAGGGCATCAGCATTTGAATCACTGAAGATCAGCTGCCAAAATAGCAGCCACTTCACTGCTGTGCTGTAGAATCAGCTCTGAGCACATACCTTCAATTCTCACCACACCAGCTCATGCTGTGCTTCAGCCCTGGGTAGTTTCTGGATGATAAGGATGTCAGGTCAGGTCTCAATTGCACAGGGCAAGTTACTCACGTGAAAGCAGGAAAACACTAAAATGAGCAGCAGAAAAAGGAGGCACTAAAGAGCAAAACATTTGGCTGGACTGTGGCCCAGCCTGTTGCTCTTCGAAGTGAACATACTGCAGGGAAGGTGTTTTGGAGGTAATGCAGGAGACGTTATTCTGCAGCTGGTCAGAAGAAGATGAAATCATTGGTTTCTTCAGTTTTCCTGACACTCCAGTGATCTCAGCTGTGCCTCAGTGAGTGCTCGTTTTGTCTTTGCCACAGCCCAAGCAGAAACAATGAGGAGGTGGCTGTGGGAAGTCACAGTCAGCCTGGGATTGACACCATTCATGGCTGCCTGGCAGGAGAAAGTTAATCTGGCAACTTCATTGCTAAGGCTGGGAAGGGCTCCTTCAGTAGCTGGGGTCAGGAGAAAAATCTTCTGAAGGCAGGAAAAAAAAAAAATAAAAGGTCAATAAATTCTTATCTGCAAGGAGACATTATTTATAACTCAATGAACAGTTAAAATAGAATGAATAAGCATTTCTGCCATGAAAGCAAATTACTTTGAGGTTATATAAACCAGGGGAATAGTTGAACACGTCTCTAAAGGACAGCAGATGAGGCATTTTCAAGCTACCAGACATCTAGCAGCACGCACATCATCAGAATAGCACACGACAGGGGGATCGTGGCTGTGTCTTTTGGATTCCAGACAGCTACACAAGCCACCAAACAGTGTCATTGCCATGAGAAGCTTACAGGCAGAAGATATTTTAATTGACTAACTATCAGGGCTGGAAAAAGTAATTCAGTATAGTTGGGATGAGCAATTGCTGCATGCCACTGAGCAGCAAAGAGGAACATGAAGGCTTCAAGGAAGATCACTTGATCCCTGGACAGCTGCAATCAAGAGCTTGTTTACAGAGGGATGAGCATCCCAGATGCAACTGCAGTACGAATGCTGTGCTAAGGCTGGCTGGGGAGACAGGTTATAGTCTCCTATTAAGCACAGGAATCACCTCTTCACAGCGAGCTGCCAAGCCTCATTAATTTATCATAGGAACATGCCTTCAGTGCTCACTCCCCTCAGTTCTGTTTCCCAAGATTGACAGACATGTCTAAAGACCACAAAGTGTTCTTGACAAGAGGGTAATTAACCTTTGATGTTTACATCTCCCTCCTCTTGGTAAGTAAAACACCAAGTCTGTTCATTCTGAGGAGGTCTGGCTGTAAACAAGTCATAGTTTCCTTTTATGCTCTCTATCAGAGGTCAGGAGGACTAGAATAGCAATTTTTCTGAGCTCTATTTGGAACAGTAAGTAACCGAGGAAGAATTTCCTTGAGTAAATGTCCAAAGCCTTGGACTCAGGGCTTTTGTACCCTTTTCACAGCCCCAGGTCTTTGAATAAGATCCCCATGAGCCTGTAGCTCCTCAACAGTTTGGAACCTTCTTCATGCAAGCTCAGGACAGGGTGAGCTGAGGCTCTGTCCAACTTGAGGGAGCTAAAGGAGAAGAAATCTATACACAGCTAATGACATGTATGAGAGAGAAATTATTCTGAAGTGGTTCTTAAGTTAGATAAACATTCCAAGAGTGTGTTCCCCTGAACAAACCTCATATGGGAGGGAGCAACAGGGACAGCAAAGCTGTTCTGGAGGTGCTAATCCACTGCTCCTACAGTAACCTGGAGGCATCACTGCCTATTAACTGCCCCAAGAAACACCAATGGATTGCATCCCCAGGCAAAGTTTTCTCTCCATGTGAAACCAAGGGACAAGGCAATGAAGAAAAGGAGCAAGTAGAGCATCAAACAAAAACATGTTCCCAGATCTCATCAACCAACAAACTAGCAAAAATTCATACAAGAAACAATGTTCAGAAAAGACAAATGAAGGTGGTTGCTTTCATTTATGGGGAGAAAACACCAAGAACAACTGTGGGATTTGGGAGGAATGGTGGTTTGCTTTTGAAGACAGATCTTGCAAATAAAGCAGCAAGAAGGGATTTTGTTTCTGAGGGATAGGTGTGCAATAGGCTAAGAATGAAAATCCACTGCTCTCCCCTATGGGAAAGGGAGAAGAGGGTGAGAGACAGAATGCATAATGGTGCTGTAACTTGCAAGCTTGGCTGGAATAGGAGGTATTGGATGGAAAGTGTTTCTACAGCTGAAGGACTATTAGCATCATAACCACTGAGCATTTTTTCCTTCATTATTAACATCAAAATAAAGGGCAACAGTTTCACTTATTTTGCAGAGTTGAGCTTTAATGAGACCACTGGCTGATTCTTCGCAGCTGGACATGGGTGAAGCAGAGTTGGTTCTGACAGAAAACAGCATGCTGCCAAATTACAGGATTTTACTATTTCACAGAAATTGAGGTAAATAGCAGGACTTCTACCACCTCTAAACTATTACACTAGCAAAGTAATGCAGTTATTTACTTAATACATGATCATATGGCTCCTACGTTCCCTGGCTTGTGCACCATGCCCCATTTGCAACCTGACAAAAATTCTTATCTCAGCAGAGCAGAACACACTAATACCTGCAAATGTTTTGTGTGTCTCCTTTTCTGGTCTTGAAACAGGTTATGCTGCACTGTCCTGATGCTGTCAGTGAAGGCTGCTTGTGCATGCTTGCATAGCAAAGAAATATTTCTCCTACTTGACTCATATTTTGCATCTTTTTGCCATCCTTCTCTTCATACATTGGAGTGCAGCCTGTGGAGAATGGCATTATTAGAAAGCTAGCGTTAAATCCCTGCCAAAGAAAATGTCAACAGAAGGTATATGCATCACTTGCGTCCAATCGTATGCTGCCTGCTCAGCATCCGACTAACATTATTTGGGATGATGCCACAGAGAGCAATGGGAGATCAGGCTGCTTCTTAGTTTGCCTGCCTTCTTAGTCACTGGAATGACTGCTGTTCCTGAGGCTCTGGGTGTGCCATGTTCCCTGAAGAAGGAAAAGTCTGATATTAGAGACAGTATGACCATTTTCCCAAAGGGGGATGGGTGCTGGGAACGTAAATAAAACTCCCAAATAATGCAAGGGAAGGAGAGTTCATCTGAGTTAACCACCAGCAATGAAGTGGTTATACTGTCTCTGGCTATTATAGTCCTACCAGTCAACAAACCTGTGCCATCTGAATATACTGCATCATTTGGATTTCCACTCCAGCTATTTTCTTTGACTGTTTTCTCCAGTAAATCTTCATGATTTTCCTCCAAGCAAACAGCGAGTGAAAAGGGAAAAAAAGAGGATAAATTGGAAAAGGACAGGGAGAGGCCAGGGGCTAGGGGACTGTCACTCGGAAAGCACGTTCTTTCCATCAGACTGACACATTATGGGCACAGATCCCACATTCACTGGTGTAAGTGAGACCATCTGTGCCACAGATCTGCTCCAGCGCCTGGCCAGGGGGCCCAAACTGGCCATCCTCAGCAGTGCCTCCAGGGCTGTGCTTTAAAGGGAGCAGAGTAGAATAGCTTAAAGCAATACATTTTCAAACGTTCCTCATTATTCAGGGGGCTTGAATGAAATTCAGGTTTCACTTCTATGAAAGACAAATACGCAGGAAGCATCACGCTATGCAAATGCTCTTTGTTTGCAAATTCACAGTATGTTTAAACTTACGGGGCTGCACCTCAGCTGGTGAGAATCTGGAAAACCTTCGTAAGCAGAGTGGATGTCTGCCAGCTGGAAACAGGCTCCTTTCCACGGCTGCTGTCTGCTTTTCCCGTATCTGCTCATTGATCAGCAGAGAGCACACAACTGGAGACCAGAGCACGGCAAAGAATCAAATAAAATTGTATCAAACATTAAATTACAGCAAGAGAATGAACATTTCTGAGTGTGACTGTATTGATGGATGAAACAAGTGGATACCAGGATTATATTTCTTTAAATAGAGAGGTCTGAGGAAATCTTTCCAATTCCCAGAGTATTTTCTTTGCTGTCAGACAGTTAAATAAACCTGTGCAACTGACACAATGAGTTTGTATAATTATTTCTGTATTTCTTTTGTTTTGAGGAACATGGAGTTATAAAAGTGGTAAAAACCACCCCATTTAGATATTATTCTGAAAAAAAGAACATTAAAATATCAGTGGGATGAGCCTTGTCACTCTCAAGCACCACTCAAGAGACTGACAGAGTATCCAGGCCCATCTGCATG